AAGAGAGAGAGGAGAGAGGAGAGAGGAGAGAGAAGAGAGGAGAGAAAAGAGAAAAAAAAATCTACAAGTGTCACTCTTTTAGCATAAGGCCCACCATGGTGCACATTCCAATTGAAAATAAATTTTTCCGTTTACCGGGATTGTTAACAGTGTGTTTTGGTTTGGGAATGGTTTTATCGTTGAGAACAGTGATCATTGTGCCATTGTTCATCAATTTTTTTATCTAAATATCACGCGAATAGTACTATTTTCCAATCTGCCACGGGGCAAGTTCGCTTCTGACACAAGCGACCTCGATTTGCTGATGTGTCAGTTTCCTGGTGGTGTCAGAGTTCGCTTCTAACACAGGCGACCTCGGTTCCAACAATATTTTAATCAAGTTCGCCTACATGATAGGGGAACTTCATTTTTTTTGAATTTTTTTTTTTAAATTTAATATTTGTTATCCACTAAAAATGTGACACGTCAGCAAACCGAGGTTGCTTGTGTCAGAAGCGAACTTGCCCTCGTGTCAGATTGGAAAATAACACTGTTCGCGTAATATTTAGATAAAAAAATTAGTGAACAGTAACATTTTGGTCAGTATCCCTTATCGTTGCGGAGGAAAGTTTTCGACTTCGAGTTAGTGAGGTCCGAAAGACTGGTGTAATGTGCGGCCTTTTCATAATAACGTGAAAAGTGAAATATTTTCACTCATCATTCAAAAGTCAACTAATTTTTTAAAATAATATACCTGTATGAGAGAGAGGTGTGCATTTAATTGCCTATATATCAACATAAACACGTACGGAAATAATGCGAGTCTTGCAGTACATACGTGACAAAATCACATTGGCTTTTATACGAGTCATGCACGTACCCAAAATCGTATTAGCTTTTATACAAATCATGGACGTATGGGCATATCCCTTATCCATATCTCACCCTATTATTTCGACAAATTATTTCGCTTTCGAATCAATCAGAAAAAATAATTTCCTTTTAACATTAAGTAGATCAAAAAGCCATAATGTACCGATGTTTGTTATGCATTATGGTTAATGACTTAATGTTATATAAACTTATATAATTTATCTTACCTGTATTTATTTTATCAATTTTTACCTTTAATATCAAATGAGTTCCTAAAGTTTCTGTATTTAATATTTTTTTATGATTAATGTTACATGATGAATTTTAACCGTGTTTATTCTATCCATTTCATATGATTAATTTCACATAAATCCTTTTTTTCTAATTGCAGTTTAAGAGGGGGGGAAATGGCTTTTGGATTTAAAATGACATTAGCGTTTGGAAATAATGGAAGAGTAACAAAAAATGGAAGAGACAGCTCGAGGAAGGACACTTACGGTGTGTTTGATATAATATTTACTAGTAAACTTTTTTTTGATAAACGTCAATTATCATGTTTAATAAAAGTAACAAAAATTAATTTCTGGATATTTAAGATTTACCAGTAATTTGATTTACAAATAAAAGACACTATACAGATTACCAAAAATAATATGGTAATTCAGAATTTCAAGTAAAAGGAAACACAACAATAATTTTTGAGACAAAAATACTCTAACACATCAAAACCTAGTCCCAATCTATCAATTACAAAAGTAAAAATAGTTTGGGGTTATTTTTGTAAAATAACCTCATATTCCAAGTCATATTACGTTCTAAACCAAACATGGAATCAATAATCTTTACTCAATATTTTCGGTAATATTTTGACGAACCAAACACATTTTCGAGTAAACTCAATTTCTAGTGTATTCCTCGTAATCGTGATTCTCGAATACCAAAAAATTTCTCTTCTGTCAAACACACCTTTAAGAAATAGTGATCAAAATATTACTGTTTATCAAAAAATTTATCCAAATGACAAATGAATAATATTTTTTAACAGATTGACATGCAACATAATTCATTATGACTGATAGCGAATTTTGTCGTCTATGATTTCGTAACACGTAGCCACATTGAGTACCAAATTTGTTATCACTAGTAGCGAACTTTGTCCCGTCATCTTTTTTCTGTTAAAATATGTCACGTGTCACAAAATTATTGACGAACGTAATTTGCTACCAATCATAATGAATTACGTGGTGTGGCATTTTCATAAAAAATATTGAATATGTGATATTTGGATAAAAAATTTGCTAAAACAATAATATTTTGGTCGATATTCAAGACGTTTAAAGCAATACATATCCACAATGCTAAGGAGTGCATCTTGGTATTATTGTGGCATCAAAAATTGGATGCAACATTGATTTTATATTATGCATTACTCGTAATATATAAGTAAACCATACTTTTTTTTTCTGTCGCCAAAACAATTGCAACTCACGTGGTATATTTTTATTCGTCGAATATTCCCACTCTCATTGTATATTAGATTTTACGACTGCTGAGGTGACACTAATCACGTGTGGATATTTTAAAAATTTCTTTTAATACCTGTTGAGTGAATCATAGCTACATTGAAAATTGTCATCAGATCGGTAGTTATATACTGTGATGCACGTTGATACGAGACACGAAATACGACATGACACGATATTTTGATACGTTAATTTTAAAAAATGATATATTTTAATACGTTGAGATACGTTTTGATATTAAATATATTTTTAATATATATAATATAATTTATATTTAATACATATAACAGTATATAATAAGTCATATATTCAAATTTCATAACATAAGTATATAAAAATAATAATTTTTTTTCGTACCTTGTTAATTTTTCATCTCAAATTTCATAACAAAAAAAAATTGATTTATAAATGATTTTTTATTTTAAATAATAAAATAAAATAAAGACTAAAAAAAAATGTGTCGTAGCGTTGACCACGTGTCGAAAAAAATTGACTGTGTGTCAGAAAAACGTGTCCGAGCGTGTCCGAGAGTTGACCACGTATCTTAAAATATTGATCGTGTGTCGGAACGTGTCCGTATCGGACACCTGTCCGACACGCACGATTCAAAAAAAACGCGAGTCCTTGCTTTAGAAGTTTTATATCATTTTTAGAATTTTATGTTATATGATATGATGGTTAGGAAAAAAATTTAAATATTATTATTTTAATAATTATTTATGAAAATATAGTTGATTTGAAATTTAATATATACAAATTAAGGAAAAAATTATTCTCATGTTATGTGAGATAATTTTTTCTTTTTATATATCATTTGTATCATTTTTTTCTTTTTATTTTTGTTTTATTTTTTCGGGATGTAGTTTATAAATTTATTTTTATAATATGAAATAATTCATTTCAATTAACGTGACATTAATAAAATCCATAAATTAAATAAGCATCTATTGAATTCAATCACATCCAGAATTGAGTATGACTACTCACATCCATACCCAGACCTGAGCCAAGGGAAAGAGATGCTCTGTATGAGATGTGATCAGAAAAGAGAAAGATACGCCTGCGCAGATCCATTCGGCGTGGAATCAGCTCGTTAGTACAATGTTTTTCCTGGTCGGCCAAACTTCGAAGCATATGACCAGTATCCTGTGTCCACGAAGTTTGACACAAAGATCGAGCGAAATACACAAAATTTTGAAGCGGTGGAGACGTCGCTGCTCAATATATCATTCGCTCATCCAGTTGATGAAGGCTTTGATATTTTTATTACAGATAAAAATTATCTACATTTGTTTAAAAAATAATGTTGGGATTAAAAAATTATAATTAAAGAGACTATAATAACTTTTAAATAAATATAATTATAAAAATACATTAATTTCTGCCTTAAAATAATATCATTTTAGACTAAATTTAGATAAATTATTTACATTCATATTAGAAAAAGTAAATCCTTATTTTATTGCAAAAAGCTATTCACATTATTTTAATGCAGATTGCTATGTATGGAAGCTGATCGTTTCCAGATTACGATCAACGCTGGAGGGAAAGATGTGAGTAGGGGTATTAACGACTCAGCCGAATTTTGTTCTTAAGCATGTGATATGTTATGAATATAATTATCGACTTATGATCTGATTTATTTACAAATAATAAAAGCCTGGTTTAACTTGTTAGTCTGTTTAACAAAAATAAGATAACAAAAATTTATCCAAATAGAATATACGATCAACAACATTAATATTTTCATAAATATTCATAAAATGAATGTATATCCAAACAACATAATATAGAACAAAAAATTCAAAAAATTTATTTAACCAATAAGATGGGGTGAAATGAATTGAGGAGAGAGAAAGGATTATTACAAGCCGTGTTTAAAAACTCAGTCCAGCCATTAACCGGCCGAGGCCAGGTGTCACGGGATTACGAGTTCAACTAGGGAGTCATACGGTCACTATGCTGACCCAATTTTACATATTAAAAATATATAAATATATATATATATATCCTATATAAAAATATTAAAAACAAATTACCAATCATCAAAGATTCAAAATATACTTAACATAATTCACTAATTACAACCAGAGGTCAATATTACACAACCTAATTAAAGTATCAAGATATCAAAGTACAAAACTCATTCTAATGGGATCATTTCGCTGATCCGGTTCTGCTTCTTTTGAGAAGGTCTCTGACAGAAAAAAGATTTAAAGAGAGTAAGAATGAGTTTTTATTTTCCATCGAGGACCGTAAAGATTTTATTTGTATGGTAAAATTGTTACCTTTTCTAGAAGATATAACCCTGAATATAGTAAGAATGATAGAATAGAACGTGCTATTAAATTCGATTTTAAGTCATAGATTATATATAAGTTCATAACTTTGACTAATTTATGAGCACAATTATTTATACCAGGGAAGGATTGTTTTGAATATCTAGATAAGAAAACATATTTTTGCATTCAATTTATTCGTTAAGCAAAAAGGCTTAGCTTACACGGAAAAATCTGCGTATTTTGTGTGCCAAACTTATTTTGCATGTGCTGCTGTGAAATTCTGCCACATCCTCTGTGGTAAGACCATTCTGTGCATGCCAGAAGAGTATGTGGTTGAACCATACTATCTAGTAATATGAGCCATGAAAGAATCAATTTCCATGCGAGAAACACCACCTTCATCCATGGACTTACGGATGGCTTTTTTAAGATCAATTGCTCTCTCTCGTATCTCATCACCTTCCTTTGTTTCCATCAACCTTCTCACAGCATTCTCAATAACTGATGCAGTCACCGACTCATCTCTCTTATCCCAGTCCTTCACAACCAAACCAATCTTCAGAACTTGTGTTATCAAAACACTGTTTCTTGGCTGGTCAGAGTGCATAGGCCATGTGGCTATTGGAACCCCCATGGTTATGCTCTCTACGCATGAGTTCCATCCACAGTGACTCATAAACCCTCCTGTTGAAGTGTGGCTTAGAATTTCCAATTGGGGTGCCCAGTCTCTCACAATTAACCCCATTCCTTCAATTCTCTCTTCATACCCATTTGGAAGCTCATGTCTTCTTACTTCATCTCCATTGAAGATGTCTCCTTTATCAGCATCTCTCAGCACCCAGATGAACCTTTGCTGGCTTTGCTCCAATCCAATTGCAATCTGTTCGACTTGTTCCTCTGTCAATGCTGTTGTTGTCCCAAAAGACACATATATAACTGAATTTGGCTCTTGTTTATCAAGCCACTCCATGCTTAAGTGCCTTTCCTTTATGTTTTTCTTATCAATAACTAGAGGGTTGAAGGGACCCAATGCCCAATGCTTCTTGCTACCCAGGATCCGTTCTATCGATTCAATGTAAGGGCTTTCAATTGTCCTTGTTGTGTTGTGGATGTTCCCATCATTGAATTTATGGAATTCATTTTGTTTAGTCATGAACTCTATGAATTGAATTGGTAAGCATCCTTCCAGAGAAGGAGCTTCTGGGATATGTAAGTTTTCTACATGAGGCCTTCCCATTGCCTCCCAAAAAAACAAGAAGGTGAAAAAGGCAGAGATGCTGTGAAAAGTGTAATTCTCTGCATTTGTTATATTTGTGGCATCTTGTGCCACTGATGCCATTACGGAATCATGGATAACAATGACCCTTCTAGCTACAGAGGAAAGGGATTGTAGAAGTGCTGCCACAGGCTCACGCAGATGTGAAGAGGCCTCAAATGAAGGAATCATATGAGTTGGGAAATTGGTTTCTTCATTGGGGTTGGGAGGAGGGGAAAGAAAGGGAGGAACCTCAAAATCATGGAAATGGATGTTTGAAATGGATTTTGGGTCCCAACCTTGGACACGAACTGTGGCCTGTCGATTATGTGTGGCTGTGCCAACATAATGAACAGGTATATTGTGTGATAAGAATAGGCGTGACAGATGCAGAAGCTGATTGAGATGGCCTTGTGCTGGGAAAGGTATCACAACAACCACCACTTGGTTTTGATGACAGCCGTTGCTATTATGGCTTTCACTAGTGTTTTGGTAATTAGAAGCCATTGGCGTACTTTGGTAGCTAGAATCTGCTACTGAACTTTGGCACTGAACTTATTGCTTTGCTAGGTGGTAATATATGTTGGGGTATTTATAGAACCAGATATTAGAATTCGGTGGCTTTTTTACTCATTTAATCCGAATTGTCTAACTATCCATCTGTTTAATGTAAGAAATTTCAATATTACATTATATGAAATTAGAATACCAAAAAATTTAAGATTATTTGTTGAAAACATAATTCTTAATTTGTTGGAGGCTTTTTGTTTTCTATGATGCTCCTTCAATAGAAAGATCAGGATCTTCCTATGCTATTCACACATCACTCTCTGATCACAACCTTCGATGGGACGAGTTGTGGAGTTACGGTTTTAACCCTAGTACTCTTCCCATTATGAGTCTATGAGTCTATGGGTTAGGCCTACACTGATCAGTTTACAGATACATACACTAATCAATTTACAGATATCCAAACCCAAATTAAAAGATCACTAATTAACTGGATTTTATATTATATCCCTATATGAATCATGAAGCCTGTTCTTATTAAAATATTGAAGCCCACTATAATTATAAAAATTTATAACATTTAATTCTTTTCTTAAACGATTTACCAATATAGTATGAACCAGATATTAGAATTCGGTGGCTTTTTTACTCATTTAATCCGAATTGTCTAACTATCCATCTGTTTAATTCTTTTCTTAAACGATTTGGCATCACTAATTAACTGGGCTATTGTTTTTGGCATCACAACTTGGTTCTTTTGGCGTAACAGGAATGAAAAAATCTTCTCAAGTTCTGCTCGGTCAGCCTATATAGCATCTACAGATCAGTGATAGAGTATTGCAGAAGTATTGTTCAAGCTAGAAATATGTTGGCTAAAGCTGGCTTACGACATGGGATTCGAAAGGAGAAGCTTATAGTTTGGTCCCCTCCGTCTGGCCAGTGGGTTAAAATCAATGTTGATGGGGCAAGTTCATTGAACGGTATTCAATCCGGCTGTGGAGGAGTGGTTTGGGACTACTGTGCAGGTGCCTGGCTTGTTGGGTTCTACAGAAACCTCGGCTGTGGTAATGCTCTGAACGCAGAACTCTGGGCATGCTTGATTGGGTTGGAGATATGTTGGAACATAGGCTTCAGGTTTGTCTGGTTGGAAGGGAATTCTCTTTTGGCGCAACATCTGATCCAGAATGGATGTAGCAGTTCTCATCCTTATTTTTTCTTAGTAAGACACATTCGAGATATGCTCTCTAGGAGCTGGGTTGTTCACTTTACGCATATCCGTCGAGAAGGAAACGACGTAGTAGACTGGCTTGCTTCGTATTCATATGGTTCCCTTGGCAAATGCAGGAGTTGAAAGAACCCCCCCACATGGTTGCTTTGGCAGACTGTTATGGGATATCATTGGAGTTGGTTGGCCTAGGACCTGTACCTAGGATCGTTTATATTTTTTGTTGTTTTCTTTTGTAATTCCGTTGATCTCCAAAAAAAAGAAAGAAAGGATGAGATAGTTAAAAAATTAATCACCATTAGATTAATTTTGTAGTAACGATGGTAAACTTTCCTCGTTGTAACTATAACCACCTCAAAAAACTAATATATATCTTAAAAAAAGTTGAGCTTTTAACTTTGTTTTTTTTTTTTCCTTTAATTATAAGAAAAAACTTTTTTTTATAATAAGAGCTGTTGTAAAAATATGGGTTGGCTTAACTTTTACTTATGAGGAAAAAAGAATCTATGTTGTAAATAATTATTATTTAGTTATTATTTAGTCATTTATTTGTTGTATTAGGCCAAGTCCATTAGGTCAAAATTAGGTCAAGTATTCTCTATAAATAGATAACCCTTTGTACAGATTATATACAATTCAATAATATTTCAAATACCCTTTTCTTTCAAGTTGGTATCAGAGCTCTCGATCCTGAGGGCTCTGCTTCCGCGCCTATTGTCTTTAGAACAAGAACCTTTTATTCTTTTTGTCTCTCGCTGCCATCAGCCGCCACCGGATTTTTTCTGGGGACCTCTTGGACCGAGAAGATCTCTGTTATACTGGATCTCTGTTACTGTTCATCGTCTCTGTTACTGTTCATCGTCTCCATTATTCTTCATCACAAAACAACATCTGTTCATCACGATTGGACCCTTTTCCGGTGGTTTTTCAACTCCGAACAGACCCAGAAAGAACCGCGCTCACCGGACGACGTTGCTCCAGAAATTTCAGACCGGACGGCCACGCACGCGCCCACACGCGCCGCTCCTTCAACCGCGAGTGAATCCCACGCGCAGCCAATCTCACCGGCGCGTGGCGGCGCGTGAGACCATTTTTCCGGATCAGACCACCGCGATCTAGATCGTCCCTTCATCCTCTTTCTGGATTTGTGCTCCTCTCTTTGATCGGACATCGTTTGGTATTTATTTGTGATTTTTTGGCTTCTTGGAGCTTTTCTTTAACCATTTTCTGTGCAGTATGGCCTCTTCTCAAAGGAGTTCTTTTTTAAAATTTTATGATGGTACCTCTTCTAGACCTAAGAGAGATGACCGATGGTGTTCTTATTGTAAAAGAATAGGTCATATCAAGGATTTATGCTTTCGCCTTTATGGAAAGCAAACTGTCTTAGAAAAGATGGCAAGGATGCGTGGTCAAGCGCATTTTACTTCTTCTGAAATAACCCCTGCACCTAATGAGACCCAATCTGCATTTCGTCCAGATGAGTTGGAACGAGTCCGAACCATTCTTGATTATCTGAGTAAGCCATCTGATACTAGTACTTTGGCTATGACTGGTATGAGCTCCAAAACTCATTCTTTCATTTCTTCATGTAATGATTTTAAACATTCTTGGGTTGTTGATTCTGGTGCTACTGATCATATGGCTTGTTGTGCTGACTCCTTTATTTCTTATCATCCTACCATTGGAACTCATACAATATCCATAGCTGATGGCTCACATACATCAATTGCGGGTTCTGGTGACATAAACTTACAGCAGTCCTTACATCTTAAGGATGTTCTTCATGTTCCTAAACTCTCCACGAATCTTCTTTCTATTCACAAAATTACAAAAGATTTGAATTGTATTGTAACCTTCTTCCCTACCCATTGTGTTTTTCAGGATCTCGCCACGGGGAAGACGATTGGTAGTGCTAAAGAGCAAGGTGGGCTATACTATCTGGTGTCACAATCTCCCGCAAATAAAGTAACATATCACACCTTCATGTCTCATGGTCAATCAACTGCTGATTCTTTAATTTGGCTGCATCATAAGCGTTTGGGTCATCCTCCATTTAGTTTACTCAAATCTTTATTTCCGTCATTGTTTTTGTCTAAGTCTGTTGAGTCTTTTCATTGTTATGTTTGTGAATTTGCTAAGCATCGTCGTGTGTCTTTTCCTTCTAGTATTACTAAGAGTGTTGAACCTTTTGATCTTATTCATTCTGATGTTTGGGGTCCTTCTAAGGTCCCTCATTCTTCTGGAAATAAATGGTTTGTTTCTTTTATTGATGATTGCACTCGTGTAACTTGGATTTACTTAATGCGTGAAAAGTATGAGGTACCACAACTGTTCTTTCAATTTTATAAAATGATTGAGACTCAATTTTGTAAAAAAATCAAAAGACTAAGGACAGATAATGGTACTGAATATGTCAATCACTTTTTTTCCCAATTTATACAAAATCAAGGTATGATTCATGAACTTACTTGTGTAGACACCCCTCAACAAAATGGGGTTGCTGAAAGGAAAAATCGTCACCTTCTTGAAGTTGCTCGTGCCTTACTGTTTCAAACACATGTACCCAAATGCTATTGGGGAGATTCCATTCTTACTGCAGCGTTCTTGATCAATCGTCTACCCACTCGGGTTCTCGATCATGTAAGTCCTATTCACTCCATGACTTCTTTTTTTCCTTCTGTTCCAACTTTGCAAAGTCTTCATCCTCAAGTGTTTGGGTGTGTTGTCTTTGTTCATATTCATAAACAGCATCGCAGTAAGTTGGATCCTAGGGCTCTTAAATGTGTCTTCCTTGGATATGCTCCTGATAAGAAGAGCTATAAGTGCTATCACCCTGGAAGTCAGAAATTTTTTGTTTCTATGGATGTTACATTTCAGGAATCTGAGTCCTTTTTCCAAGGTCCTCATCTTCAGGGGGAGAATAATTCACCATAAGACTCATCACCTTCCTTCTTTGAATCTTCAGTGTCTACTCCTTCACCTGTGTCAGTGTATCCTCCTCTTGGTCCTGTTCCTCCTGTGTCTGATCCTCTTGTGAGTAATCCTCCTCTGACTGATTCTTCTGTGATTGATACATCAAGTACACCAGAGATACGGAAGGTTATGACACCTGAAAGAAGGAAACAACCCACATTGTCTCAGCAGCAACCTCAATCGTCTGAACCACAGGTAAGTCTTGAATCTCATATTTCTGATCATGATGTTAATACTTCTGATGACTTACCCATTACTACTGATTCTGATGATTTACCCATTGCTCTTAGAAAAGGAAAAAGAGCTTGTCCCAAGAAATCTTGTCCCTCCTGTCCCTCTTGTACTCAATACCCTATCTCCCATTTTGTTTCCTCTGTTAATCTTTTTGTGCAGCACAAAAGCTTTATTTCAGCACTAGACTCTTTTACAATCCCAAAATCAGTACATGAAGCCTTGAAAGATAGGAATTGGGCTCAAACCATGCAAGAGGAGATGAATGCTTTGGAGAAAAATAAAACATGGGAGGTTATTGATAGACCCAACGGAAAGAAAGAAGTAGGGTGCAGATGGGTTTATGCCCTGAAATATAATTCTGATGGCATTCTTGAGAGATACAAGGCTCGATTAGTGGCCAAATGTTACACTCAAACCTATGGCATTGATTATGAAGAAACATTTGCTCCAGTTGCAAAGATGAATACAGTAAGAATCTTGTTATCCCTTGCTTCCCATTACAATTGGGATATAAATCAATTTGATGTGAAAAATGCTTTCCTCAATGGTGAGTTAGAAGAAGAAG